AAAAGATTTTGGTGCTGATTGAGGCAAGAGATATGATGTTAGATGGCAGCACACAATAAACTTTATTTGGTGGCACTGGACAGAGTTGCATGAAAGGAAAAGTCCTTTACAGCATGAGACTATACAGGGGCTTATGGTAAAGAGGCCACTATCTAGAAAGGGAGAATGTCAAGGCAACTCCTGAGGGAAATGGAGTTGGAAAGGGGGCTTACCTGTCTATGTGATGTCACTCAGCAGCTTGGTGGGGACTCTCTGGATCAGAGAATTCCAAGGGCAGTAGTGGCTTCAGGGTCTTACTATTATAAGGCCTTATTTTATCATGTAACAGTAGTCAGCTGAGGGTTTGCAGGGTATGTAAAGCAGGCAGGCTTTAAATGACTAAAATTTTGCTTTTTGGACTATTTTGAAGATATTAATAATTGAATGTCTATAAATTTAAGTTTGGCGTGAGTGAACTTTTGAACTAGTGAGTGCCTGCGGTAAAGAAATAACCTAGGGACCAATATACAGAGGCCATCTTTTGCTCATTTGTATAACATTTCTACTTGCTTTTATCTTCTGTTCCATCTCTGTAATGAATTTTTAATTTTAATTATTGTTTGATTAAATTCCAGAATTCTTATTTGAATTGTGTCCATAATTTCTACTTTTTATCAATATTCTCTATTCTCTCTAGCATCTCTATTTGGTACTTACAGTTTTCTTTAGTTCTTTGTACGTGGTTTTCTTTAGCTCTTTGAGCATATCTTAAATTGTCAATTTATTGCCTTTGTCTAGTAAATTCAATGTCTGGGTTTCCTTATGGCCAGTTTCTAATAATTTTTTGTTTCCTTGTGAATGGACTAGCAAACTGTTGCCTTGTGCTGGCTAAATCTGCTACCAGTTTTTTGTAAATAGAGTTTTATTGGAACATAGCCATGGACATTCATTTATGTACTGTATTGTTAGTGGCAGTGCACATTCATTTATGGATCGTCAGTGCCATTGACAGTCCATAAATGAATTTGCAGGGCTTTGTCCTAATAAAACTTTATTTGGTTCTGTGACTAGAAAGATGGAATTTCTCTCAGCGATACAGTCACCTGTGCTGCTGTGTAGTTTTTTATGACTAGGGCTACTTTCATGATGAAATAGTGAGAAAGAGTAATGGAGATTCCTTACATACTCTGAACCACAGAGTTCTCTTCCCTAGTTCTTTTGGCCAGAAAGATAGGTGCTTTTGGAGTTCTAGGTTCCTGTATAGTTGCCACATTTCAGATCTGCTACTGAGGCTACATTTGGGACATAGCCAGTAAAGACTAAAAAGGAAAGAAAATAAAATGAAAAATTAGGATTCTTATCACATTCTCTGTTTTGCAGAGGCCCACTTTCCTGGTCTTCTGTCCAGAAAGATGGCTTTTTCTGTGAAATTTTGTTGGTTGTGCCTACTGTGCAGTTCTGCATAGGGGCCACCCTCAGTGCTATGCTAAAGGATAAAAGGGGAAAGAAAAATCCAGGAAACACATCCTTTTTATTGGTCACTCTTCAGATTTTGGCACCTCTCCACAATTCATTTGTTAGTAACTTTTTAGAGTCTTGAGGTAATTGCTTTTAGTATGTTGTCCAGAGGTTTTAGTTGTAATGAGTGCAAGTGAGAGGCTGTAGTGGGTTTAATCCATCTTTGCTGGCGTTGGTGGCAGAATCATTTAGGTGATTCTTATATTCCATACTTCTCTCTAGATCTTTTGGGGAAGGGGAAAGGCAATTGTTTTCCCAAGGTTCCAGGTTTAAATATAATAGAGACTGTAGCTTATATGCTTACAACTTTTGTCTATATAGAGGTAAGTCGTTTTAGGTCACAGTTATGATAGAAATAATTTATATATCACAGTAGGTCATTCAATAATGTTCTTTAATTCAATATGTCATTTTTTTTGTTTTACTGTTGGTGAGAAAAAAAAAGGTTTCCAGATGGAGCCACTGTCTGTGTAGAGTTTGCATATCCTCCCAATGTCTGCGTAGGTTTTCTCCAGGTACTCTCATTTCCTCCCACATTCCCAAGCTTTGTATGTTAGGATGTGTCTAAGCTGTGGACATATCTAAATAGTCCTAGTCTGGATGAGTGTGAATGCACCCTGTGATAGAATGGCATGTTATTCAGGGTTAGTTCCTGTCTTGTGCTCTGAGCTGTGGCCAGGAGTAATTGGATAAATAATGATCCTACTTGTTCTTACTAATCTTCCTCAAACGTATATACAGCTTACATTTATTTCAGTGTTTACTATTAGAAGTCTTCTGGTTTTTATTTAGAACTTTGGTGATTTTTTTATGACCAGAACTATGCCTTAGAAACTTAACTCTTGTTTATACTAATTAACCTGTGGTAAAATTGGTTTTGTTATGCATTGTTTCACTTAAAACGTCACAGTTTCCAAGACCCTATCCATGATGTTAAGTGAGGACGTACTGTACTTTGTTCCAGAAACCTCATCTCTACTCCTTTAGTTTTCACAATAACTTAATTAGGCAGCTGCCATGTCATCCCTATTTTAAAGATAAGGAACTAAAGGTACAGAGAAGTTAGGTAATTTGCCCAACGTTACGTAGATAATAAATGGTAAAGCCATGATTCAAACCTAAGATAAAGTAATGTAGTGTTAGAGTTCATGTATTTTAAAATTTTTCACTTATTATTGTGGAAATGTTCATATACAAACCAAAGAAGGACATTAGTATAGTGAACCTGTCATGTATCCTTCATCCAGTTTCAACAGTTTTCTGCCTTTCTTGTTTTATCTATTTTCACTAACTTTTTGTTTTCAATAAAGTATCTAAAAGCAAATCCTAGATATATTATTTCAGCCATAAACACTGAAGTACCTATCTAAAGTGGATAATAGTTTTTAAAAAAATAATATAACCACGGTATCAATATAAGTACAACTTAAAGAGTGAAGAATAATTTCCTTTAAGTCATCTAATACCTTTTGTGTTCAGTTTTATTTGATTGACTTAGAAGTATCTTCTCATAGTACTCATAGTTGGTTCAATTCAGGATCTCAGTATGGCTCACACTGTATTTGTTGATATATCCCTTAATTTTCAAAAATCCATATTGACCCTAAACCTGACCCTAACCTTTTTATGATGTAACTTTTAAAGATGATGATGATGATGATGATGATGATGATGATGATTATTTTGAGTTGGAATCTCACTCTGTTGCCCAGGCTGGAGGGCAGTGGCATACTCCTGGCCACCACAGCCTGGACCTCCTGGGCTCTGGCGATCCTTCTGCCTCAGCCTTCCAAGCAGCTGGAACAATAGGCACACGCTACCACTCCTGGCTGATTTTTTGATTTATTGTAGAGATGAGGTCTCGCCAAGTTGCCCAGGTGGGTCTCGAACCCGTGGGCTCAGGCAATCCACTCACCTCAGTATCCCAAAACGTGGGATTATAGGCTGAGCCGCTGAGCCGGGCTTAAAGATTATTTTTAAAAATAAGTATTTTTGGGAATTATTTTATTTTATTTTTATTGTATATATTTAAAGTATATGATGTTTTGAGATGGACTACTTTTAGATTTATAGAAAAATTATGACAGCACAGAGAATTCTCTTATACCTTACCTAGTTTTTTTCCTTTAATCTTATTATCTTCTGTTACTGTAGTACATTTGCCAGAACTATGAAACTAGCATTGGCTTTTTATTATTAATTAAACTCGTCTTTATTTAGATTTCATCAGTTTTTCTATTAATGTCCTTTTCTGTCTCAGGATCTAACCAGATTATGTTAGTTGTCATTTCTTCTTAGTTTCCTCTGGAATGTGATAGTTTCTCAATTTTTCATTATATTTCAATACTTTGAATTTTTGAGGAGTCCTGATCAGGTATTATGTATAACATTGGTCCTCGTCCTTTTTGGCATTACAGACTGGTGTCATGGAAGACAGTTATTCCATGGGGTAGAGCAAGGAATAATCATCAGGCATTAGATTCTCTTAAGAAGAGTGTAACCTAGATCCCTCTCATGCTTGCACAGTTCACAATAGGGTTGACGTACCTATGAGAATCTAATGCTGCCACTGACATGACAAAATATGGAGCTCTACTCAACAGTTACTCACCTGCTGCTATGCTGCCTGGTTCCTAACGGGCCATGGACAGGGGTTAGAGACCCCTGATGTGGAATAGCCCACATATGATGTATATGTTATTCTCAGGATTAAATTGTGTTATGAGTTTTTAGAAACAGATACTATACAGCTGTAGAGTGCTTTTTTAAAAAAATGATTTATCTTTGTTTTTCTTTTTTTCTTAATTCATATATAAAAAGTTCACATGGTTTTAAGGTCAAACTATAAAACTCATCAATTTCTCCTTTCTAGTATTTTTTCCCTTCCCACAAAGGTATTATTAGTTTTTGGCTTAGCCTTCTGATCTTTGTTTTTCTTCTTTTTTTAAAAAATACACACAGACACATGTTAGTATACGTGTAACTATACTCTCTTCCCCTCCTTTTCTTTTTTTTTTTTTGAGTTGGAGTCTCACTCTGTTGCCAGATTGGAGTGCAGTGGCCGCTCCCGGCCACCGCAGCCTCGACCTGCTGGGCTCCGGCGATCCTTCTGCCTCAGCCTTCTGGGTAGCCGGAATTACAGGCATGCGCTACCATGCCCCGCTGATTTTTTTGATTTTTTATTGTAGAGATGAGGTCTCGCTGCCCAGGCGGGTCTTGAACCCGCAGGCTCAGGCAATCCACTCACCTCAGCCTCCCAAAGGCGCGGGATTACAGGCTGAACCACCAAGCCCGGCTCCTTTTCTTACTCAAAAGATAACATCAGTTCATGTTTCTAACTCCTGTACCATACTTTCTCTTTAGGATAGTCTTTTTACAGTGTGTCCACTTGTATTCAAGAAGGTTTTCTTTTTAAAAAGTTAACTTTTTCTTACTAATACAAATATTTTCCTATACCTTAAAAATGTTTAGTACATATTATATGCTTGTGTTTTTATTCACAGATATTTTCCAATTTGTCCTTGGATGAGCGTTGCCTTTCTGCATCATTGGTTTGCAAGTATTGGCGTGACCTTTGTTTAGATTTCCAGTTTTGGAAGCAACTGGATCTTAGTAGTCGTCAGCAGGTATGGAATCTAATTCTAAGTAATACTCAGTATGACTTACTCGATTAAACAGTATCTTTATTCTTCAGAAATCTGTTCCATGTTGTTTTTCAAGATAGTTTAATTGACTATAACCTATAATTTTGTGCTTTTGTAATTTTGTGTGTGTGTGTGTGTTTGTGTGTGTGAATTCAAGTTAAAGCCAGGCTTTCCTGGTGTACAAGATAGTTTTTAGTATAGGTTGGTAATTTTGGTTACTTTTTTGGGTCATCTTTTTTGATTTGTCTTTATGTCTTAGTTCTTTCTTCTTTTCTTCATTACCATTTAAAAAAATTATTAAACTTTTCTTTTTTGGGGAAGTCATATCATGAATATTAGTTTAATAGTAAAAAATGATGCCATTTTTATAGTACTGCCTTTGTGTTGTCTACTGTTCTGAAGGCTTTATACATATTAATATATTTTATCCTCCCAACAACCCTGTGAGCAGACACTTATTTTTTTGTGTTTTACAGATAATGAAATGGAAGTAAAATGGTCTGAGATTAACATTTTTTTAAAAATTCTTTTTGATGGATGTTCTGGTCCTCCTCATTGCTCAGCTGCCTAATATGTTTATATGGGGACACACACATATTAGGAAAAAAGATAGTTTATAGTGCTTATTGCAAACAGTTTGCTGAACTTGCTGAATTCCATCTTTAAAACTGGTAGTCATTATTTGGCATTAGAATATATAAAAATATTCAATAAGAACATTGGATTTTATTGGAGTACTAAACCGGCTCTAAATCCTTCCAGTATATTTCTGGTGGTATGCTAGTAAAGGTTTAAACGGGCTTCAAAAAAAAAGTCATGATTTATATTTGCTTATTTCTATCATGTAAATACTCCCACCACAGCCAGTTTCCAGTTACACATTTTCTGCCACTGAATGCAGATTAGAAAGAGGGGTACATTATAAGCTCTTGTGAGTTGGTAGGTGACAGCTCCAACATGCTGGTTGTGTATATTTTTGTGTGTGTATAGCACACAAATTTTAAGCATGTTCCAGAGGATTTGTGTATAAGTTGTTCCCTTTCTGTTTTTCTGCCTCATTAGCAAGAGGTTAAAACATTAGAGAATTACTTTACCTCCTTGGGTTCATGATATTTGTGTCCAGGGAGAATGATGAAAAGTTAGTTGTGGCTAGTAGGGTAGAGAGAAGATAAATGTGAAGTAATTCATTGGCTAGTTACTTTATTACTGTTGAATGTTTGAGCTATTTATTATGAACTCTGACCCAAAGTAGCTTTCCTCCTCTTCTCGTTGTAAGTTCTGAAGACGAAAAAATAAAAAATAAAAGGAGAGGTACGTCTTTTTTTTTTTTTTTGAGTCAGAGTCTCACTCTGTTGCCCAGGCTGTACACCTTCTGCCTGCTGGGCTCAGGCTATCCTTCCAAGTAGCTGGAACCACAGGCACATGCCACCATGCCCAGCTAGCTTTTGAATTTTTTTTTGCTGTAGAGATGAGGTCTCACCAACTTCTCCAGGCTGGTCTTGAACCCCTGGGCTCAGGCAGTCCTCTCGCTTTGGCCTTCCAAAGTACTGGGATCATAGGTGGATGCCCAGTAGTATGTCAGAGTTTTAGCTTTCCAGGGGACTGCCTGTGTTCATGCTGTTTTCAACAAACATACACACAGGAGTATCATCTTTGGCTCTTATCCTAGTATTGCTCAGCACTCTAGTTCTTTCTTCCATTTCTAATTTTCTCCATTATTTTTACCCAAAGTACTTGAATAATATTAACTTTGTTTTCCTTTTTGAAAATGTGATGATAGGGCACAGAATATGTAGAGAATGATTTTTTAAAAAAATTCAGATGGTCATGTTAGTTTTTCACCAGAATTTTAAACTTACTTTTATTTAGCATCGAGTCTTCTGAGAAATGTTTTTTGACATGAACATTTCTATATAATCTTTGACTTTTTATTATGCAAAATGATACTTTCTAAGCTATGAATTATATTTGAGGTAGCATTCTCATAGAAGTAGCAGTAAAACAATAGAAATTTGTATACTGTGGTATCATCTGATATCAAGTGTAAGAAGTCAAGATTTGTAGGTCATGATGACTAATGTACACTATTTTTTGGGTTAAAAATAGAGAACAAAACATTTAAAATCTCAATGTAGTTTTGTTTGTGGTGAGTTTTTGGTGAGTTTGAAGGTTTAAAGTGAGTTTTTCCAATAAGTATACATTTTTAGACTTTTAATGAAAACGTACACATATTCTTCATTGCTGTTTTCTGACACCACATGTATGGAGTTTTTTTCACACTAACAATTTGTTGACACTAACTGGGTATCTAACAATTCGATTCAATTCTGACACCAGCTTCCAGAGGTAGCACAGACCCTATAGGCTAAGGGGTCTTAACTAAGGTCCCACAAGACTAACCCCACTTCAGCTGGCAGCTGCAAGCCCTAGGAGTTACCTGAACTTCTTATTGACCAACTGTAAATTTGGGAGCTCCTCCAGTCTCCTCTTCTGTTTCTGTAATTAGCTACAACTCCTCACATAGTACGGAAAATACTTATATTTACTGGTTTATTTATAGGACCAGCCAAATGGAAGAGATACATAGGGCAAAGTATAGAGTTCACCGTCCTCCCAGTACTTTGATATATTTACCAACTGAATCTCTCTCCTTGTTTGAAATTTTATAACTTAATCTCCAGGCCTCCTTTCCTCCCTGGAAGTTAGAGGTGGGACTTGAAATTTAGCACCCTTTAATCAAGCGTTTAGTCTTTTTTTATTTTTTATTATTTTTAAAATTTGAGTCAGAGTCTCACTCTGTCACCCAGGCTGGAGTACAGTGGCATGCTTATGGCCACTGCCGCCTCGACCTGCTTGGTTCAGACGATCCTTTTGCCTCAGCTTTCCAAGTAACTGGAACCACGGATGTGCACCACCACACCCGACTAATTTTTTGATCTATTGTAGAGACAAGGTCTCACCAAATTGCCCAGGCTGTTCTTGAACCCCTGGACTCAGGCATTCCTCCCACCTCTGCCTCCCAAAGTGCTAGGATTAGAGGCGTGAGTCACAACGCCCAGCTAAGTGTTTAGTTGTTATGATGGCTGGCTCCCACTCTGAGACTACATAGTGGCCCCACTCTGAGTCATATCATTAGTATAAACTCTGGTATGGTTTAAGAGGCTTGTTATGAATAACAAAAGACATGCTATCACTCAGGAAATTCCAAGGATTTTAGGAACTTTGTGGCAAGAACTGGGCACAAAAACATATAATTTCTTATTGTACCACAATTCTTATTTTGCTTTTAATATTAAGGAAGTTTTTCTTTTAATTTTCATGTGATAATGTAATTATTATTTATTGCAAAGTTTAGTAAAAGAATTGAAAGTAAGTTTTTACTTTTAGCATAAGTTTAAATTTATTGCATCTTTTTCTCTCACAGGTCACTGATGAATTATTGGAAAAAATTGCATCAAGAAGTCAGAATATAATTGAAATCAACATTTCTGATTGTCGCAGTATGTCTGATACTGGAGTATGTGTTCTAGCATTTAAGTGTCCTGGACTTCTTAGGTATACAGCCTATAGGTGTAAACAACTTTCTGACACCTCTATTATTGCGGTTGCCTCTCATTGTCCTTTACTTCAGAAAGTGCATGTAGGCAACCAGGACAAACTTACTGACGAAGGACTCAAACAGGTAAATTTTAGCATTTATAAAATGATTTTGCTTGTATTAATTCAAAATGCTTTCTTGCAGCAACACTTTAAAAGGTTTTGTTAAAAATAATGCTTAGAGATCAAATTGAGTCATCTTTTTTATATATCAATGAATATTTGTTTAGGTTAGTGAGCTACAGTGCCATGGTCATAATCAGTAAATTAACTTTGCTGTGTTTTGTAGTGAGAGCCTGAACTTTTGTTACCAACCATTTTATTAATTTATGCTTTTGTTGCTTAAATTTTATACCAAATTTTGCTTTAGGCAATGGTATGCAGTTGGGTTAGCATGGTTTTAAAAATTAACTTTTACTTCCTCTTTTATTGTATTAGATGACACACATAATTTAAAATATCTAAGTATTTTAAGGCACAAATGGAAGTCCAAATCGAAGAATATAAAAGTAAGAAAAAGGTGGTAATTACTTATATTTGGTACAATAACTGGCTGAAAAATAGTATTATATATAGTGCTACACTATAGTATTTTATTATACTTTCTGTTTGATATACTCCCTTTGGAAATGATATTTAAAGTTTCTTGGCTCAGAACAGGTTATTCATTTAATAGAATTAATATCCTAAAACATTATATATGAATTAACTGAAAGCTCAGCACTAGAAGAGATTTGGGAAGACTCTGTCATACATAGGGAGTACTGGACATGTCAAACCAATATGTATTAGGAATATTGCCAGTTTATAAGGGAAACTGTTTTGTTTCCAAAGACAAATTGTGCAATAACAGACTTACTTCTTTTAATATTTTTCTTGGTATTCTTCTACTACGTACAGAATTGTTTACTAGCAAAGCATTTTTTTATTTTTTGCGTTGGAGTCTCACTCTGTCACCCAGTGGAGTACAGTGACTGCTCCCAGCCACTGCAGCCTCGACCTGCTGGACTCCGGCGATCCTTCTGCCTCAGCCTTCCAAAGTAGCTGGAACTACAGGCGCGCGCTACCACACACGGCTAATTTTTGATTTATTGTAGAGATGAGGTCTCACCAAGTTGCCCAGGCGGGTCTCGAGCCCGCAGGCTCAGGCAATCCGCTCACGTCAGCCTCCCAAAGGTGCAGGATTACAGGCTGAGCCACTGAGCCCGACTGTAAAGCATTTTTGAAGTTCTTAAGTCTGCTAAAGCAAATTAATCTCTTATGGGGAAATACACATGTTTTTGGATGTAGTGTAATTTTATTTCTTTTGATAGAAATTTCTCAGTAATTTACACTACGCAATGAAACATTTAAAAAGATCTGTATATTTATTAAGAACTAGATTAAATCTGTTTCATATTTAAGTCTGATATAACACAAACAACTACTGGCTTAGCAGACTGCTGAGGATGTTTTAGTAATATTTGTGAAAAAAATATGATCATAGTTATGGTTGAAGTAGAGGGAAATTAGTTCTTTAAGGAGAAAAACTTAATGTGCCAATCAAGTATTATGAATTTATCTAATATTTACAACTTTGATACTAATTATGTAAGTCCTGCCTAATATGTGAGGTATTTTGGAGCCCGTTAACTTGTTTAGATTAGATGTTTGTCTCAGATTTTCATGGCTTCTGAATTACAGATTAGTTTTATGTGAAGTAATATCCTGATAAAAGCAATAAAACAATATACATATACATATTTTTTCCTGTTATACATATTATACATATTTTTTCCTGTTAGGTAATTTTCTTCTTAGATATTTACATAAGGAATGTCATAGTGGTGTAGAGAGTAATATTTTCCTGTGCTTAAGACTGTGTTGTAGCAGGGTGTGTCCTATTTTAGACTTTCTTTTGATGTAGTGGTGTTATAGATATAGTAGAGAGGGCTTCATATAAGCATAAAATAGACAAAGTTTTATGAAGCAGTATATATCCTTATGTGCAATACACATTGATATTATCTATTCTCTACTATTATGTTAAATAAATGTTATCCATGACCCACTCACTGTATGAATTTTATGACCCAGTGATATTCGGTAAACCCTACTATGGAATTATATTGTGGTTTTAGTAAATGAATAACTTTAAAATGTATAATAACATTGCAAAAGCCTAGGATAGAACAATCCATAATTGATGGATTTTCTGAGATTATTAATTTTTCTTGAGCTCATTTTAACTTAGCAACTGACTGAATTGTTGACTCTACAGATTAAGTTGAAAAGATTTTTCTTCTGTTAGTAAAAACAGACAAATGTTTTAGAATGGCATATGTGTATTTCTTTAAATATATTTTCTTCATAACTGCTATAAATTTGATGTTAGCAAATAGCAGATGTGTGTGCTTTTTGAATTCTGTCAGCTTACAGAAACAGTTACCTAATGCATTTCAATTTGGAACTCTGATAGATGCATATATCAATATTTTACGCATTAGATTCTGCTTACTGATATTCATCAAGTTTGTGGTGATGCACCTAAATGTCAATTTTTGACTGAACACTATCTTCTTTCTGAAATACCACTTTGAAATGTTTGATATTTTTATTTCAATAATAGTCACCCCCCAAAATTTCACCAGTGGAACATATTTCTATTATATGCATCTTTTAAAACTATAATCTTGTATCTGGGGAGGAAATCTATTTAATTCATAATAATAGGCTTTTTCAGTTTTCCTGATATTTATCATCTAGCACTTGCCAGCCAACAAGTGATAGCAGTAAAGTATATAAATAAATCTAATAAATTATATCCATTACGTTACTACTGTATGTGACTAATTATATTCTATTTTAGCAGTTCAACACTCCAATCCAACTTATGGAGCTTGGTAAAAATTTCTGGAAATAACTCACTGTAGGCTTCTTCCAGATTAAAATGGTACAAAAATAATAAACATTAATTAGTAAATGTCAATCTGGCTATACTATGACTTTTTTAGCTCTTTTAAAATAAAGTGATATCAGAAAAATGTTGGAATAGGCGTCTCTAAAACTTCATTCCTCTACAGAAACATTGAAAAACAAGCCAAAACTATTAGATCCAACTTTTCCAGATCTCTGGATAACAGTGAAAGGTTTTCAAGCAACCAAGGGAATACTGAACCAAGAAAAAGGCAACTGAAAAGTGAAGGGAGCCGGGCTTGGTGGCTCAGCCTGTAATCCTGAGCTTTGGGAGGCTGAGGTGAGTGGATTGCCTAAACCCGCGGGTTTGAGACCCGCCTGGGCAACTTGGCGAGACCTCATCTCTACAATAAATAAAAAAAATCAGCCAGGTGTAGTAGCGCATGCCTGTAATTCCAGCTACTCGGAAGGCTGAGGCGGAAGGATTGCCAGAACCCAGCAGGTCGAGGCTGTAGTGGCCGGGAGCGGCCACTGCACTCCAGTTTGGGTGACAGACTCCAACTCAAAAAAAAAAAAAAAGTGAAGGGAATACTTTGGGCTTTTTTACTTACTGTGCCTTATACCCTTCTCAGCTTGGCAGCAGTCTTATAGATAGCAGCCCAAGTTTCCAGTATGGAACCCTGATCTCTGGTTCCAGAATGAGCAGAGAAGACTTTCTTTGCAAGTTATTGTGTTTGTCTGATTTTAACCTATCCGGGAGCTATTTGAAGGACTGGTACAGGTACTCATGTGTCTGTTTCACCTAATTTAGAACCCAGGCAGGGAGGAAAAGCAGTGGGTATTGGTTGAAAACATTGTAAAACAAAAGAAGGAAGCCAGCAGTTGCTTTGGGCAAAATATTATAGTAACAAATACAATTGATCTGAGATAAAAAAGCCTGGAAGAGTCTTTTGGAAATAAGGGCAATCGGCACCAGTGTACACAGGGAAATTTAGAAAACCACGTGCATGCCCATGACAGGACACATGTGCAGGAAAGACCCAAGAAAATCATAAACTTTTATCACTGGCTGCTCTCTAAGTTCAGAACAAGCAAGAAGTGAAGACCAAGGCAGAATTGTGAATGGCATGGTTACGTGTTAAAGGAGTATAACAGTGCAGAGCCAGTCTACAAAGACTAAGAGAAGTACTTTTGTTTTTTATTTTAGTTTGTTTTGTTCTTAAGTTTTGGCATTTAAGGAAATCTCTTTCAAAACACTGAACACAAGCTCAACCTTAAATAATAAAAAACAGCAAGCTCTAAGCAAGTAAGGAGACTCTAGTTTTCTAAGTTACTACATTATAATGTAGTAATATTTAATGTCTGGTTTTCAACAATAAATCACAAGATGTGCAAAAAAGCAAGTAAGGCCTGCTAAAAGGAAAAATAGTAAATTGACAGAAACCATTATTGAGGAAGCCTAGATGTTGGACTTACTAGATAAAGATTTGAAACATTTATCTTAAGTATGCTCAAATAACTAAAGGGGACCGTGGCCTAAGAACTAAAGGAAATCAGACAAATGTTGTATGAACAAAATGAAAATATCAGTGAAGAGTAGAAATTATAAAAAGAACCCCATAGAAATTATGGAGCTGAAAAGTACAATAACTGAAATAAAAAATTTACTAGGGATTCAAGAGCAGATGTAATTCAAGAAAGAATCAGTGAACCTGAAGATAGGATAATTGAAATTTTTGAGTCTGAGAAGCAGAAAGAAAAAAGAGTGAAGAAAAGTGAATAGAGCCTAAGGGACCTATGAGACACTCACCAGAACAACATTTGTATTATAGTAATTTCAGAAGGAGAAGAGAAAGAAAAAGAAGCAGAAAGAATATTTGAAGAACTAATGGCCCAAACTTCCAAGATTTGATGAAAGACATGAATCTATACATCAAAGAAAGTCAACAAGTTCAAGTGGGATAATTTCACACTATACTGAGACGACACATTATAGTCTAACTGTTGAAAGCCAAAGACGGAGAATCTTGAAAGCAGCAACAGATAAGTGACTTACCACATGCAAGGGCTCCTCAATGAGCTTAACAACTGATTTCTCTTAAGAAACCATGTAACTCAGAAAGCTGTGACTGACACGTTTAAAATGCTAGAAGAAAACAATATCAAGCACGAATTCTATATCTGTAAAAA